AAAGAGATCTGTGGCCAGGTGATGACGAAGGTCACTTCAAGTTCGTTCATTAGTATGCGCTTTTGTACGAAAAACTCCGTTTGTGGTCCATAACTTCGGAGTGAAACATAGAGACGAAGTTTATCTTTGGAGTGTACGTGTGTGTACCTATCGCCTTTCCACAACATCTCACACTTATCCCAGCCGATCCGTCACACTTAGCCACGGGTTGTCAATCGGATGACCGCATAAGGCCTATTCGGAAGGAATAAGAAGGAGTTGGCTAACATAGAGCTCAAATGTTTTATATTTGGTTCAGATCTGGACCATCCCGTCGACTGATGCGGCGAAATAATAATGAGCGTTTTTTAGTTACGACTGATGAAATGCGGCGGTGTCTTTTTGGAAAACGAATTCAAGGTGATTACTAGATGCCACTATCAACAAAACGTGCTACGTCCCTGTGCGAAAATAGGCATCATAATCTTGCAACCCACGCAGTATAACGGGTTCGGTCGGGCCGTTACTTGATAATGAATCCACTACCATCGCGGAGTTTTGATCTCTAATTCGCATACTGAGGTCCCGTTCTTTCCACAGATTGTATCGGTACTAGTTCCATGCGTTCGGGGTATATAAACTAAATTTCTTTTCGTCGCTAAATCAGATGAAATTTCTGTCTGGGACTCGGAGCTCAGGCGGTGAGAAAGGGGCGTTGACTCCCAAACCGAAGGTTCGCTGTTCGAGTCCTTACAGGGGCACAAAATGTACGCACAATTGACGAGTTGAAAACTGGACGAAGCAGTCGTCTAGTGCTCTTTATTGGTCATCACAAAGATTTTTATAGCATTCAGATGAAATTCCATCCATTCTACCAAGTCACACGTGTTTAAGTTCGTAATAAAAGTCTTTGTGTTTTTCATGTTACTGGAGCACCCTTTCATTTTCTTTCGTTTATCCCTAGCGATTGTCTCAAATTTTAAATTGATTGTCTATTTATTTCCTTTTTCTGTTTATTGAATATACAAATGTACAAACAACTTTCAGGAAGGGGGCTGCGGCCATACAAAGCCTGCCTGGGGAAAATACAAATATATGTACCGTTCGCACCGAAATGTTCAACTCAAGCACCGTCTTTTTTTATCTTCCATGCACAATTCACGGAGTTTGAAGCCATGCATAGCTACTCCCCCAAGAGCTTTTTCTAGCTTCCAATCCGTTCTTCAGCTATTTTTGCTTCAAACAACGTGCCACACTGTGATCGAGACCTATTACACGACCTGACTATCTTGTGTGCTGAAATCTGAAATTTTTCTTGCGAACATTTTACTGACTATTGCAAATTCTTCTATGACTAGTGTTGCCCCGTTGAAACAATTTATAGTCGAACTGGTAGTTTTTCCTCGTCCCTACTTAAGCGACTCCGTCGGGCTAAAGAGACAGGTTACATGACCGGCAGACGTAACGGTGTAAAAGAGCTGTCTGTGCTGATTAGAGCTGAAGTATGACGTCTGAACGGAATGTACGTTGAGACCTTGTTAGGTAATAAAAGCCATCTTTAGATGTGGCCTACCTCGTGGAAACTCTGTGACTGACGCACCAGGTCTTGTCCCATCGTTGAAGCATTTAGCCGTCAATTTGCCTGTGTCTACCTCAGGCTCCCTTCCACCTCCTTTTCCAATCCATGAGTCAATAAACCCTGTTTCTCCGGAAGAGGTTCTCCAAGTCTTCAGGGGACTCAAGGCCAAAAAGATCATAGACCCGATCGATTAGCACCTCATTTGTTAAAAGCATGCGCCAATCAGCCAGTAGCACCTATTGCTGAGTTGTTCAGAACGTGTTTGTCATCCGGAACGATCCCTGATTGTTGGAGGTCAGCCTAGATCAGACTAATCCCAAAGAAAGGATAGTCAAAGTACCGTCCGATTGCCTGCACATCTGTGTTGTTGAATGCTTTTGAAAATGTTTTGCTGTACCGCATGGTACTTCTTTATAACCCCCATGATCCTTCACAGTTCGCCTATAAATCACATCCGTCCACACTAAAGGTTGCTGCTCATATTGCTCATTCAATGGCATCAGTCTTAGACAAAGGTGTCAGTAGCGCTCATTTAACGTTTTCTCATTATGCAAACGCCTTTGGTTCTCTCAAACAAAGAGTGCTAATTCGACGGCTTTCTTAGTGTGGTCTGAAACCTGAAGTCTTGAAAGTACTAATCGACTACTTCTCCCGTAGGACCCAGTTTACTTTACTAAATGGGGTACAATCGTCTTTTATTAACATGGAAACCGGTGTTTTTCAGGGTGCTATTTTGTCTCCTTTCTCTTTTTCCATGCATATACAGAATCTCCCTATTCCCAGTAACTTTATGGTATACTGATGATATTGTGACGGTTTGCTCATCCCCTGGATCAGACGGTTTTCGACCTATCCAGGATAGCCTTAATGAATTGCATGATTGGTCTGTGACCCGATCGCTTGTACTTAACATTAATAAGTGCACTGAAGTTCCATTTACTATTAAAACCGGTTCCCGCTATCTTTCATATTTTTTAACTTCCTTTTACTGAACATACAAAGATACAATTTTCAGGAAGGAGGAAGCAACCAATCAAAGGGCTGCCATTCAACACACATTGGGGAAAGTCGGGCGGTGGTGGTGGAATTTGAACGTATTCCCGGGATGATAATTTGGTGACGTTACCACAGCTCTTTAAATGAATGATCTCGCGATCTTACAGTTCATGATCAAGGCATCCCTAATTCTGTTTCTGTTAAGTATCTTAGTGTCATCCTTACCCGTAACCTGTCCTGTTCTGCTCATGCCAGCAGCGTTTTTTTTTTAAATTGAAAACTGTCTTTTTATGCATACAGGCCCAGGAAACTGGTTGTACCATATAATCTTATTCTTAAATTTGTGATCGCCTGCATCTTTCTACACTAACTATACTGCTCCCCGATGTTTACCCCTTGTCTGAAAGAAAAAGACTTCTCTTTATTTTCCAGATCCCTTAAATTTTGTCTCGATACAGTGAAGTTGGTAGAGTCGTTGTGGTTGATTTCTTTATTTTTAAGCCTCTTAACTCTTACGATACCTTTGTTGACAGGATAACACGTGGTCAAGGGCACTGTCTGCACCGGGAAATCCTAAAAGCCCTATCGAATCGTCGAACTCGCTCCAAATACCAACTTCCTGCGCGTACTTCCACATATAGAAACAGTCTAATTCCATACCTTGCTCGGTTAGAGGTTAATCGTAAGACGGTTTTCATCTACCTCAGGGAAAAACACTTGCACTCATTTTTCTCTCGTTTGCAATAGTATAGAATTTGTTATATTGTAGTTTTGTTGATAGCCATTTGTTGCATGTATCCACTGTATAAGTTCGCAAATTGCTGAAAATTCATAAAGCGCTTCTTGACTTGACTTGAAACTGACCTCACGGAAGGCATTACTTCTGGATGTCACGTTAGCAGCAAGGCTGTTGCATTGCGCCTTGGTTGGCAGTGGCTTGTAGTGACCTCCTTGAATGTCTTTGTTCTCTCAAGGTCATTGGCAGTGACGTGGGCATGACCGTAGTTTACACCAGTCTGTCAACCACTGACTCAACACAGCTGCCTTGCCGAAGTACAAACTCAGAATGTTTATCACCCCGGTTTAAAAGCCGATTTGAATGTGTGAATTCTATGGGGAGTGCAATACTTTTGCCGGGGTGAAAATTCGGTTTCTTCAACTTTTTGACAAAATTAAAGAGAATATAATTAGATTTCGGCTTTTCGGCTTTTTATTCGGTTGTCGTCTCGATTTGTGATCGTGCATGCGCGAGCGGAGATAATCCAAAAATCTAGGAGAGGATTGCAATACTTTTGTCGCGCGGTGTATGTCAACAATTTACTTTGCCCTTGTTGCCAGGTTCTGTATTGATTAAATGGATAAAGGAGATTCAGTGCTTCAAAGTTCTATGTTCTATTCTATTCTATTTATTCTGCGATAGTCTGATGGAACGGTCACTACATGTGTTGTTTGGACTTCACATACACGTTGCATATGAGCAGTGAGGCGTACGGAGAAACGATTCTTACACAGACATCTTGTATTGTATGAGAATAAAAATAAAACACCCAGCTCAGTAAAACCCTCTGTGCACTCATTCCGCTCACCGGCATTTCGGTCCGTAAGAACAACAAGGTCAGTGAAGATCAATTCGCATTTCAAAACCTACCGTGGATCGAGATGTTCCGCCTCGACCTTTTTTGGTGGTTGGTGCAGACAATCGATTGTGCTGGCTTTCACAGAACTTGATATGACGTTCCGCAGCTTTCTCATTGAATCTTCGCAGGCAATATTTGCACTGGATCAGATCTGAACATGGAATGAACAACGAAGTTGAAAACAAAATGATGCATGTTGACGATGGAAATCAATATATTTTTCTGTGGTGTTAATAGGAGGGATTGCATCCAATGATAAAAATAAACCGAAATCCATGTTTCCCTTCTTGATTAAGGCTCTCCTCGGAATAATACGTTGTCACTTGAAGAACTCCACATATAGCTGAATACGACTAAGGTGGATTTGTACTTTAACAAACAAATCACAACACAAATCTTATGCTGGAAGTGTGAAATAGTTTTGAGGGTAATTCATGCCTATTTGTGCTTATTTATTTTTTTCATTGAACATGGAACAAACGATCCGTGAAGTTAAAAGATAGGAATTAGTGTGAAGCATTACAAATCTACAGACTCAATTGAGGATCGAACCCGAGAATTTACAAGTAGAGTGCTAGTACACTGTCCACTTTGCTACTGGACAGATCATCAGACAGTTCCATGGTTTTATACGTAACATGGCACAGGTCATCTTTGTAAGCTTGTTAAGGGTATGAAATCTTCCTGACCTGAACACTTCAGGGTTATGATTTGGTTGTGGACTGACTGACCAGCGTCTCAGTAGGTGGTATGCTTGCGTTCTACCTATAAAGTCCCTGATTCGGCCTTCAGTTTGGTCGATGGTATCGCAACCGCTGTGCAGTATGTTCAAGCTTATCGGTTCATGTTTCTTTCGCTTTGCGTATGACGAAACTCATCCATCAAATTAAATCAAATCACCCACCACTCTGTTTGAACAAATAGTCAGGTTTGGAGTGTTTCCAAAGGAGACAAATCCCTGGAGGTAAGGGCTTGAATTAACCAGGTATGACACCGATAAAAGAATATATATAAATTTATTACAAGAATAGTTACGAAATGATAATGCCTGTTTATGATTGTTAACCTTTGTCGGTATATTTGATGTTTTTCACAGCGGTGTCTCCCAAAAGACCCGGATTTAAACCTCTGAAGAACGGGCGAATGGATTGGATCCACGGAAACAAGTACTTAAAGATCATTTCCTAGACTGAGTGTTGGGGATTGTTGAGCACACAAGGAGCATGAAGTGCTTAAAACCCGTCTGACTGGACACTGGTTATCAATGGACTGCGGTCTTCTCAAACACACACACACCTAACCAAACGCTCCGATTGTGAATTACCAAGAAAAATCTCCTACTTCAACTTGAACAACCTGGCGATGCAGTGTCCACAAATTAATACGCATCAATAGTACTTAATTCATAGGATCACCATCTATGATGGTATTAACTTTCAGCAATTGAAAACGCTGCTGGTTATGAGATCGGGGTGAATTTTTTTGGTTAAATAAATAAGGATTCAGATTCACCGCTACCACTTGCTCAAATCAATTAAGTTCGATCTTATTTAGTATTTTATAGCGTTTCTTCATATGGTGGCGGTGATCAAACGGGTAAGGTTCAGCTTATCTCCCCGGAGGATGCGTGTTCGAATCCCCCCACCAGAGCTCAAATTTTCTCTTTTTTGTGTGTCAGCAGGCAGCTCCTTAATCGCTGCAGCTTAACTCCTTCCTGGAACGTTTAAATTTTGGTATTCAACAAAGGGAAGAAGAGAGTTTTGAAGAAAAGAAAAAAGATGTGCCGGTTATCAAACTAAAACTTCATGTTATCAGCAATCGCTTTCTAAGGGTAAATAGCCAACAAGAAAATTACATATTAACTATAGTTGAAGATTGTTTTAGGTAATCTCGGTCACCCACTGGATCCATTGGTTGAGTTATATCGACTACGTGGGTTTGGGCATGTATTGCACATGTCACCAAGTAACGGTGCCTCGCCTTACGATATTTGCCGAGACAAGTAGGGAATGGACAAAGGTCAAGAGTGATCAGACTAGACCTGCATGAGGATGTGAAAATCTTAACAAAGAGATTCGGTCATAAGGTAATTTGGATGGGGACCTTAGAAACATCGTAAATGGCGGTTAGAGACATTGAGTAATATGGCGGAGTATCGCACACGTTGGCGCTCCTGCATCTACTCATTATCCTTGAATCCCCTCAATATGAATTTCTTTGTTCACTTTTACTCTATTTTTAACATTCCAATCTTCCTACTGCTCTTTTATCCGAATATTTATATTACATTTTCATATATGTCTGAATCCACACTGCGTGCCAAAGAAATCATGTAATAACAATCTTTATGAAAAAGAAAGACGTTCCATGATTTACATGTGGGCGGAATATTGCCAGGTTGCCCAGGCCATGACAGGGGAATTTTCCTAGGGAATTCACAATCGGAGTCTTTGGCTAACCAAAGCCTGACCGGCAAGGTAGCGGGGTGGCATCCAGTTCATCGGATCATAGGCCCTTTGGAAGGGGTCAAACGTCTAAATCCAAATGAGCAGCCGATAACCAAAACCTCAGCACACAAGTGCATGGTTATTGGTTGCGAAAACTGAAACGGAACGATAAGTTGAATTTTACATAATCTGTTTTGCTGATCAAATTTTCGGCCGTTACTATCAAAGCACGTTTACACTGGGATACGTTTCTAGAGCACCAGAATAAGTTAACATTGATGTAACTTAGCACTTCAAGTGATGCAATACCCAAGGTGAACGTGAAGTGAGCATTACACGATACCCTACGATGACTTAGGTAAGACAACCAACATGAATGGACAGTGGGTAGATGCACATGTCCTTTGAGTATTAGCAGTAGGGCTGAAAACGTTGTGGTGAAAAGCAACAAATTATCGTGTTCATTTCACAAAACAAAGAACCAAACATGGCAACTTAAACAATAAGTAACTGACCGAGCAAGAGACTGAACATTCCCTGTATCGTTCAGATTTGATATGTAATCCCCTCTATACGAGACTGTTAAATATTAAACTTAAATGTACGAAGCCCAAAGACATTGCAAGTTATTTTGAAATGATTCATTTACAACGGTCAAAACCGAAAGTCGACGAATTGTTAGGCAAAGTGGTCTATGGAAGGACCAAATCCGTTTGGTAACTACTGATTAATTTGCACCACAATTCACAACTCAGTGAACTGTACAATATTACGACTGTTTTTTATCTCGTCTATTCCATTCTCTCTAGACATCCTAATACCATTTCTAGTACCAATAATATGCAAATCATCAGCAATCAAGTAACACACCATGATTTATCGACTGAAACAGGCGATGGTGGCCCGGTGGTAAAGTTACCAAATTATTACACCGAAAGGATATGTGTTCGAGCCCCACCACCACCGCCTGATTTTCCTCAGTAGTATTATATGGCAGCCCTTTGACTGGCCGCTTCCACTTCCCGAAAATTGTATTATTAAGTATCCAATAAAAGGAAGTAAAATAAATATATATAAATATAAATAAATATCCGATGACCGACCGGGTTTTTATTTGAAACTGTTTGGAAGGTGCCAACATAGTTCGTAAAAAAATGAGACACATGAAAGTGGCTAGTGACGGAACTCGTTACTTCTATCGCCGGAAATGTAAGCACTGTATGGATCGCCAAAGTGGCAGGTTGATTGGGAAAACACACCATGAGCCAGTCACAAACCAACGACGTATGCGATCCTTACATTTTGACAACAAACAAAATTACCCCAAATAGCGAGAAAAAATCGTGTTTCTGTGCACGATCATATATTGCTCTTGCTATGTTCACCAAACATACACGGAGGTGGGTTAAGTGACTGTTTCCTGCGTGGAGATGAACAAAACGTTACGGGGGTTAAGAAGAAAACCATTTTTTCTGTTTGTTTCACCGTACACCCTTTAATATTCTTTGTATTGGTTTATTGTTTTTCTCCATGCGCACGGGATTTTCATAGGCAGCATTCACGCCACTAACTTCTATTCTGCGCCATATCTGTCAGCGTCTCTCAACAACGACAATTCTCACCCCTTGGGCCCCAACCTCGAATGCAGGCTGCATCAACCGAAGACAACGCTGAAACTACCCTCTTTATACCTCTACGCCATGTCACGGTCTGAACGCCATGGCACTTCTTCCTGCCTTGCTGTAGTAGTCGAAGTGTATACAGATTACGAATCACGGACACAACTGAATCGCACTAGCAATTGTATACTCAAATCTCCCCTCACACAGAGGCAGGAAAAAGGTCACCGAAGTAGCGGTTCGCTTGTTGAAAGAAATCAATGCGCAAAGCAGGCTTAATGGTCATACGGGTCTCCACAAATGGCCTCCTTTTATTCTAGATATCATACAACTTCAGTCTGTGCCGCACGACTTCTGATTGGTCGAAACGACTGGTATGTGGTTCTTTGTCCAGAAACTGTAACTCGTAGACGCTCGGCTGGCGTCACCTTGGAGGGTTGATCCACCACATTTGCCCAACACGTTCAAAGAGAGCACCGAATAGTGAGCGATGTGCAGGCGTATACAAAACGTGAACAAGCCATCGGAGATGGTGTGGAACAATTACTTCTTTTAGGGAACGACTATCCACACCCAGGACACGACGACGAACCTCGTCATTGCTCACCCAATGTTTCTACCAGACACGNGGTGTGGAACAATTACTTCTTTTAGGGAACGACTATCCACACCCAGGACACGACGACGAACCTCGTCATTGCTCACCCAATGTTTCCACCAGACACGAGCAATTATTTGGACACATCGGTGGTCGAATACAGAAAGTCGATTGGCATCCTCGAATCGTAAGGTCCAGGGAACGTTGGCAAAGGCTACTCTAGCTTTCGCTATTCGTGATGTAATCTCCTTCCCAACACTAAAATCAGCTGCGATCAAGCTCCCGAGGTACTGAAAGCTCTCAACCACTTCTATCTGATCACCCTAGCCTGTGAGTGCAAGCACAGGCTCTTGCCAGACTTGAACAAGCACTTTGCACCTTGATGGTGTAAAGCACATACCGTACCGGGATACCTCGATCGCCAAGCGGTTGGTAGAGTGTTGCACTACCTGTATATTGTAACCCAACAAGGCGATGTCATCGGCAT